AACAAGTCTTTTGCTGTGAGATTGAGCTTTAGGCATTAGAATTTTATCATGAATATGGGCCGATTGTGAGCGTCTTCGTCAAAGCACAAAAACGCAACACATATACATGTTTAATCGTTTTTCTCAAAATCGGCTAGAAGAATTTCCATGATTTTGAGATATATTATTAGCTATAACCTACAGTTAAACGCGGTACTTTTGGTTTTTCTAGTTGCCATCGAAATTGGCCGGAAAACAGCTTTCTTTGAATTCTTTCTTTCTACCAAAAAACTGCTATTTTTGCAGTAAATTCAAATAAAATACATGTTTTAAAATTTTCCAACTAAATACCACATTGCCTGTTTATTTTAAGAAAATCGAGTTTGATTAAGTTGGTTAAACGGCCGTTTAAAAATGATAGGTGCGCGGGAGTGCCAACCACTATGAAACACCTTAACATCTTGGTTTGTTTACAAGTTTCTTAAAACASACGCATTCAGCGATGGAAACGGAAGAATGGTTCGACTAYTATATACTTATATAATGGAAGCAAATGGGTACCCCTTCCCCATCCCATTGTTTTGGTATAGCCAACAAGGGATTCAGACAAAGGATGCTGAGGTGGAATATAAGAGTTGGTGTAGACTTTTGTGGGATATGCGAAAGTCCCAAGATGTAAGAGAATTAAAAAATAAGATGGGAAAATGTTTAGAAAAATGTATAGATGAATATAAAATTAATTCCGTGATTAATGAGTGTTTTTAATCTTTTGATACATCTCCGGTGTTAATGKTGGGATTCTTCTTGTCCAACTGTCAAATTCTCCTTCYGTCTCAATGGTTAGCTCAAAGGGCATCACACAGTGCATAGCTCTATTAACCAATTTCTGTCTGTCAACCTTTTGGAGGGCTTGATCAAAGTAGAGTTCAATCTTTTCATCTTCTGTGAGGGTTAAACAGGCGCATTCCTACATCCACAGCAATRTCTCAAAACGAGTTCACAAAGGTGTTTGCAGACCTCTACAGCATAGGTGGTAATGAGGATTTTCTTCATATATGTAAAGGGATCCATACTGAATGAAGGTCACACGAGTCTAATCTTCAAACGTTTTAAGATAAGCAATAAAATACTTTTGAAACGCTTAAAATAGACATGACGTCAAAATGACACATCAATTATTTGGTCTTTTTCTTAACTCTATCATTACGTTTTGACAATAATCAAGYTGTGATGAACACCCCCTATATCAACGGTGTAAAAGTGTCATCATCTTCATCAGTTTTCGAGTGCACCTTTGGGAGCTGCCTTCATCTTAGTATTTTCAAGTTTTTTTATCCTCAAGAAAGTCTTCAAGCATAGACCCCGCTTGAATATAATCATCATAGTCAAAAATATCCTTTTCCATCTCTTCTCTGATTTGCTCGAGGGTTGGTGTCATCTTCTTCAACAATAATCTCAACTAATGATGAATGCTTGAAGTGCTACTAAAAACTTTCTGAATATATAAATATTGWTATGACGTCACCATCTCATTGAGATATGACGTCATCGAAAACGTCACTTTCTAAAAATWGATATGATGTCATAACCGCAAGTTTCTAAAATTAGATATGATGTCATAACCGCAAGTTCCTAAAAATAGACGTCATAGCTCCACTATGGTGGCCTGTTGTTCTCATAGTCAAATTTCATAAATTCCTTGAAAAAAGAACAAAATATACACAGAAAAATATATTAGATATTAGAAAATCAATTTAAGTTGAATAAAAATAGATAAAAAGAATTTATAAAATAGAAAAAAGTAACTAAAAATAAAAAAATGAAAAAAAATATTTAAAACAAATATTTTTTGTAAGTAAAAAATTTGCAAAAAAAAAAGTAAAGTACATAGTGACACC